AGTCTCCTCACCCGTGAAGCGGGGCTGTTGACACTCACTTTGCAGGTCGGGGTGACCAGCAAGGGGACAACACGGAGGGAGTGCTTGCAGCACTCACAACAGACTGCGGAATAACATGCACGACAGAAAAGGAACTTGCCGCCGAGAGCAAGACGGACGACCCATCAGAAAAACTGGGCACCCGTTATGAACAGATGTTCACAGGCAAGAAGGCCCAACGGCCAAGAGGCAGATGGAAAGATCAGGTTCCATAAACAGGGAATTCAAACTGAACAACCGTGCTGCTTTCTCCCAAGCGACTGAGCAGATATATCAGCACTGATGGTGCAGTGGGTCGGGAAATCCGGGCCCTGGGGACCCGCTGCTTCTGAGTGTGCATAGGGCATCAGAGGGGCTTTCTGGGGGGCATCTTGCCAGATTTATTCAAATTAAAGCTCACATCTCTGTGCGTGGCAAGCCTGCTGCTAGGAGCCACCTGATAAATGTTCCCCGTGTGCACAGGACCTCCCTGTGGCCTTCTTCCCACCCGTGAAAAGTGGTCAGCGGCCTGGAACTGGTGAGAAGGGGACAGTTCAGCACAAGGATGGGGCTGGGTGAGGCCAGGGAGCCCCAAGGGTGCAGAATTTGGGGAGTCATTTCCACTCCTCTGGCAGCTAGGTCCCACCGCCAGCTCTGAGTCTAAGCGCCGACCTGTGCCCCTCCCCGCCCTCCCATGGCCCCAGAGACCAGTGCATCTGCGTCCTGGGCGCCCTGCTGGCCTCAGCTGGTCCAGCACTGGTAACGCCCCCAGTGAATCCACACTGTGGACGCCGGGTGTCAGTTAAAAGGGAAGTCATGGGGCAAACGGTTAGCATTCAATTTGTTTTTAAACACACCCCACGTAAGAGCGTGTAGAAACATGTAGGGGAAAAGTCTGGAGGGACACGTAAGACCCCATAACCAGCTGTCTCGGGCAGGAGGAGAGGATGCTGTGGCCTAGGGGGTCTTTATCGTTAGCCGCACGGCCTGCGTTTTTAGTGGTGAACACGTCTGTCTCACTCATAGGATGAACGCGCATTTGGAAATGCAGAGCGTGCAGGTGTGACAAAGTGGGAGCCCTGTTATTGCTGGAGCAGGAGGTCAGACGCACACCGGAAGCCTCCTTTGCCTCCACAGGAGAGAGAGAAAGAGAAGTGCAGGGTCGGGAGTCAAAGCCGCACACCGCCTTCCTCGGCCCCACCCGCAGGGTCGCAGCGGTGGACCAGCGGCGCCAGGCCCAGCCCACACTCACCAGCTGGGTGCACTTGTCCGTGCAGTAGCCGCTGAGGACGAAGGCCGTCTCCTGCGGCGGGACGGCCATCACCGGCGTGTACACCAGGCCCAGCTCCAGGATGCCAGCGTCGAAGCGCCGCAGCGTGGCCGTGTAGTACAGGCGGATGCCCGAGGAGTCGCGCCGGCCTGGGAGGAGGCGGGCGGCGGTGAGGCAAGGCCCGCTCCGTCGGCCGCCCCCCGCAGACCGACCAGGAGGCACCCGGTCACCCCACACTGGCCCCCGCCTGCGGCTGTACCGAGAGCCCTGCATTTGTCCCCAAAGCTGTCACCACCTCAAGGATCTATTCACGCACCCCGACGTCACCCACGTGGAAAAGAAGAGCTGCTGTGTCTGTGGAAACGAGGCAAATGCCGCGGAAAGAGTTCAGGCAGGCAAGGAGACCGAGCCACCGAAGCGGGTCGGGGAGAGGCCCGCAGTAGATCTGGGAGACTCGCCAGCCCCCCAGGGTCTCACTGCTCAGCCAAGGGG